GAGGCTGGTAGACAGGTGGGGCTACAAGTTAATTCAGCAAAAACTAAGTACATGTTAGTATCTCGTCGTCAGTAGACAGGCGGGAAAAATTATCTTAGGGTGGCTAATAAATCTTTTTAAAGTGTTACAAAGTTAAAATATTTGGGAACAACAATAACAAATAAAAATGATACTCATGAGAAAGTTAGGAGGAGACTATATTCCGGAAATGCTTGCTACTTCTCAGTTCAAAATATTTTGTCTTCCCGTCTGATTTCTAAGAGCCTGAAAATTAAAGTATACAAAACAATACTTTTGCCTGTTGTTTTGTATGGGTACGAAACATGGTCTCTCACATAGGAACATAGATTGCAGGTGTTTGAAAATAGGGTGTTGAGGAGGATATTTGGGCCTAGGAGAGAAGACGATGGGACATGGAGAAAACTGCATAATGACGAACTTAAAAATCTGTACTCCTCCTCCAGTATTTTCAGGGTGATTAAGTTAAGAAGAATGAGATGGGCTGGGCATGTAGCGCGCATGAATGGGGCAATAGGTTTGCACTGGGTATTGGTTGGGAAGCCTGATGGGAAGAGACCGCTGGGGAGACCTAGACATAAATGGGAGGATAATATCAGACGGGATCTATGGGAGATAGGAGTTGAAGGTGACTGGATTTTGTTGGCCCAGGACAGGGTCTGGTGGAGGGCTTTGGTTAATTCGGTGATGAACCTTCGGGTTCGGTAAGCCATCTAGTTAGTTAGTTATGGGAAGTATTATTTTATTTACAGTGCATTCTTCTCTCAGGTAGTATCAACTGTAACCACATCAAAATTTTGATCCTTAACAATTTCCATTCACCTCTTATCCTCGCTGCCCATATCCTTGCTCTTCAAAACTGATTTTTCAAAAGTATGCATCATCAAAATTCTGTATGCATTATTTGTGTTTCCAGCCTAGTTACACACCTTACAGTGGATGCAACACAATTCTGAGCCTGGATGACTGTTACATGTGGGAGGAAGAGGAAGATGGTGAAGCAATAGCTTATATGGAAAGATAAACCACTTCTTCCCTGTGTTCTATAAGGTGTGAAATAATTATGTTTAAGCTTAGAAGTAGCACATGAGGGAAAAAGTGTGTACCTACATTGCTTGTGTTCTGTAGTCATTTTGGTTCACAGAATTCAGTGTAGTGTTCAAGTCAGTGTATGAAAATGCTACCAATTATTAATAGGAGAAAAATATTTACATTATACATGCTCAGACAGACTCTTTGCCATCTTGCTCTCCCTGCCCTTTCCATCTCCCCTTCTCTCTTTCAATGACAGCTGAAGCTCAGAGTTATTCTGTGTCCACTGTACCCATCATAGCCATTTAATTTCACTACTGAGTGACTTGAATAATGGAATTCCTCATTTTATAGTGTTATAATAGTCCACTTCATCATTATTAGGTTGAAATGCTTTCCTGAGTGCTTCATTTTTAAACTCTTGTACTCATAATTTATGTTCTTTCTTTAGACATCCGACCGCATTTTGCATGCATAGAAAACAATTGGCACAGTTACTATTCTTTATATAAGCAGTTGTATACTTCAGTTTTTTAGATAGTATAATTATAAAGTTAGATAATGTGATGATAAAGTTTCTGAATTGAATACTAAGCCCCATTTAATATTTTAATGTTTCTTAAGTTAAAGTTTTTCTCATTTAGTTCCCTCTAAGGTCTAGACCTACTATCTGAACTTCAGTTCATTCAATTTAAGATTTTCTTTGATTTAGTATTAAAATTACTTATATTCCAGATAAAATAAACATTCCTTTGCCTAACACCATGCCATGAAGATAAAGATCCATTTATTCTACATGGAGGTCTTCCTGGTGTAGCTGCTTTATCTCATGAGGTGAGAGCACCCATTAACCGTTTTACAAGAGTCTGGGAGGGCCTTGTAGTTGTTATGGATGTGGTGGCAAATAAGAAATACCTGTCACAGCCATCCAGCCTGACTGAGTTTTCCAAGTACATTTTTCCCCTAGGGAGATGTTAAATGCAGAGTTTACTGTAACTGTAATTAATAGAGAATTAAATCTCTTTTTAATTTACTTGTAATAAATATAGTTTTTTGGCCAAACGTTTTCACCTTGAAGAAATTAGAGGAGTGAGACCTGAGTATATTCAGCACAACAAGCTGGTAATTCCACACATTGCTACACTATAAAATTATTTTTCATAATATGTACTCATCCACTATAAATATTTAAAAGTATACACAACTACAAGATTACCTGTTTTGTAATAGCAGAAGATGAACATATTCAAAAACAAACTTCTGAGAAAAGTATTTGGATCTAAGAAAGCTGAAGTAACAAGGGAATGGAGAAAATCACATAATGAGGTTTTGTAACAGTTCTAGGTGAGAGTGATTAATCAAGGAAGCTGACATGGAGGAAACAAGAGCAAGCAATAGTCTGGATATAAAACTTTTTGGGGAGTGGCCAAGGTGTAAGTAGGGGGATAATATTAAAATGGATGTTACAGATACATATTATGAGTAGTGAAGTTGGATTAAACTGATTCAGATTATGCATCTTGGGCTGTATAGTAATAAATATTTTTTGTACTGATATGCTGAGCAAGAGTCTGTACTTGGAGTTCATCTAGAATATTAAATGTTCCATAGAGTGATTAGTACTTTGATGACAATGTACCTTGGCCTGGAGACCAGCTGTTATAATGTTTTTTTTTCTTCTTCAGACATTGTAGATAGTGTCCCAGGCCACAATGAACCAAATCCTGTTCCTCCCTATTCATGATTCACATATTGCACTATATAACCTGAGTAGTTAAAAGAATGTAATTAAATAATCCAAAAATTCTGATCTTACTGGGTAATTGCACTGAAATGGTGGGAAGTTGTTGATGCGAGACAGAGGTGTTGGGTCACGCACCCACTGAAGAGCCTGCCAGTTGGTTACCAGCCAGACATCCTGCATGTTGACAATGGTGTCAAGGAATGCAATGAAGCCTTCTTTATGATGTGGTTGGGTGAACCATGCAGCATGGTAGAACAAACCAAATGGTGCCCTGTGGAATACAACAGTTTCAATAATTTGCTTTATTTATCCACGCTAAAAACCAAAATATTTTATGAAGAGGCAAGAAAAACAATTTGCTTTCCCTATGTAAGTGAAGTGAGCAACTGAGTATTCTAAGGTGAATCTTGATTAAGAAAGTCATAAAAGAGCATGAGACTAGTTCAAGGGTCTGGAGAAATTCTTGTAACTGTATATCACCAGCCAAACCATTTAGACAAATATTAATTCATTTCAATATTACATTTAAGTTAGATTTTTGTGTTTGTTATATTAAAGCTTACTTGGACTTCATATTATTTTTAAAAGCAGGGTATTTCTTTTTCAGTTTCAAGGAAACTGAGAAATACAATGCTTGTTAAGCATTCTTTGCAAAAAGTGCATGAGGAAAATGCATTATGGGCTTGTCATATCTGTCTGTCCATTTTATTTAACTTGTAAACCACTGGATGAATTGGGATGAAATTTTGGTATGGTAATTGTACCATTCTGCGTGACCTCAAACCCATACTTCCGAATATGCTAGGAGTGTAGGGATAATTATATTACTGATGAAGAAAGTCATGAGGTGGACATTTGGACATAGAAGTGGTATGAGTTGGTGGCCAAAATGGGAACTGGTTTCTTTGTTAATGACTGTTGCCATATTTTTGCGTTCATTAAATGTTTACCATGGTCATTCTGGTGCCTAGATATATAAGTGGGAATCTGTGTATGTGTATCTGTGTGTGGTTTGTTTTTGTTTGAATATGATAAGTTAGAACATGTTAGGTTATGTTAAGTCAGGTCCATTTAGGTTAAGTTAGGATAAATGTTTAAATAAGATATTTGAATGTTGGAATTCCGATATAGAAATTATCCTTTTCTTATTTCTATTTTGAAATTTTGAAAACAATTTAAAATTGTAAGTGTGTACAAATTTTTAAAATTTAGACGATTTTGAACTTTAGAGATATTAAAATTATTTCAAATTTGGAATTTTGAGAGATTTGTTCAGTTTTATAAATGTTGAACTCATGAAAGTATAAAAATTATGGAAGTCCGACACTGTGGTAGGTTTATTTTAGGTTAGATTTTGAGGTTAAGTTAAGTGAGGTTAGAGGAGTTTAAGTTACATCCACCTACCACATACAATAAATAAATTCTATTGCCAATTTATATTAGATGAAGACAAGAAAATTTGAATTTGATGACTTATTTGTAAACATTAGAAATTCGTCAACAGGTAAGAGGAGTGTAATTAAGTATATTTTTATGCTACTTTAGATTGTTTTTTTTATTGTTTTTTGTGTGTGTGTGTTTTCAAGACTCATGAGACTTGATGGTAAAATCTTGAAAATGTTGATGCCTGCATACTTTTAAAACCATATGAGGTTGGCACTTAGTCTGTGAAGCTTATTCTTATTGTGTGTGTTGATAATGTTTAGTATGAAAGTGTTCTTAATTTTTGCAAGTAAGTGCATTAATGAAAATATGAATTCACATTGAAAACCTAAGATCTCTAATCTCTAATATAGACATCTACATGAACTTTTAGGTTTGACAACAGCCATTAGTCCAACAGCTTTCTTTGAAAAGTAAATATATTTTTGCTGTTAGATGAACTGCCCACACTTCATTATGGAGTGAAAATGTTTCTCATCAGTTTTAACTAAAACTGGATTGTGCTGACAAATTTTATGAAAATCCATTCAGTGGTTCGTGGTTTGTTACATATGGACAGACAAACATATAGACATGGTGAAAGTAATAAGCATACTTTTGCTACCTTTTATTGTAAAAGTATTAAAAATACAGCACTAGCAGCAGAGTAATATTGGCATGCACAATAAAGATTGTTCATATGAAAACTCAAGCTTTAACTGCAATTTCTTCAATGCAGTCTTCTTGGACATAACCTATATAAGAATGGAGTTGATTGCCAATGTTTTGGAGACTATCTCTACCATCATCATCAGTGAGATGAGAGATGAGATGGTGAGAGACACAAATGCCCATTGTATTCATGCAGTGTGTAGCCTGGGACTGCATCTTGTGTATATGTTGGAAAGCAAGAACCACTGAGATGAGTTTTAAGGAGCGTGGATGGCACATACGCCTATACTGAATGGACAAGTTGGTGGTGGCCAAATATAGCACTGAGGATGGGCATCATATAAATTTCAAGGTCACCATGGTATTGACTGGAATGGCAGCCTACATGGATTTCTTAATGGAAGAGGCCACTGAGATCTGGGTACATTCTGACAGTTTCAACAGACAATGGATTAACTTTAGCGAATGATGGTTCTTCCTACCAACATATTCCAACAAAGTAGGGCAATCAAAAAAACAATGGAAAGTAGGATCAATGACAGCTATTATCCCAGATTTCCCAGGTCAATCTTTAAAGGCCCAACATATATTTTAATACATGGTAGTGATATCCCAAGTTGGCTCACCGTAGACTATAGGGCACACTGTGAATCACATCATGTAACATGGCTTTGTGATAGTCATGTTGGGTTCTAATCAATGAAAACAATGTCAGTATACTCTAGAAAGATAACCATATAACCTTCATAAATATTCTTATCAAAAGGGCCTCTTTCCTTTCTTTTATATATATATTTTCACAGCCTCCCTTAACAACAAACAACTAACATTTTTAAGCAGGAATTACCCTCTTATTCTTGGTTATACTCTGCAACTTTCAAAAAAACACTGAACACAAGGCTGCAAAGATCAATAACTTTATGTGAACAGGCACAATTAAACTCCTGATTTCATACTGATAACTGGCCTAGAAACATTTATATATTTATTTTTATTTATGTGTAGGTTAATTATAACATTATTTTTACAGTGTAGTTCCAGGGACACAAAATGTGTCACTGGGACTACTTGTGCCCCATTTAGGGATTCTACACAACTAATATTTTTGGCCTTTGCCAAAGCAACAAATACTAGAATTCATGTCATTCGATGGTATGCTAATATGTGCCTGCTTTGATTTAGTGGATCATTTCACCATACTTTAATTATTGCCATGGTCTAGTGGTTTGTTGTTCACTGTGTATTTGCATTAGTTTTCTAATTTACATAACAAAATGGATTATCAGTAAATAAATGTTAGGTCCCTTGAAAGATATCTGTTGGAGTGAAGAAAATATGACATGAGGACAATATATAGATAATGATTCAGGAGAGAAATTTGTAGATAAGGAGCCATCTGTTTTGAATGTACATTTTTTATGATTCAAAAGATAAATGATCACAAGAGCTTGTAGATGATGGTATTTGGAGAGTAGAAGCAGTATTAGACAGAAGACTTTATTCAAAATGATTCCCTTGAACAACATGCTTCTAGTGTTCAAAGATGCACCAAGAATGGGGAATTATTAGAGACAGATGAAAGGAACTAATTTCAAGAAACAGGTCTACATTTTCAAAGTTGATGGGATACTGTGTTCATGTCTAGAAACTCCAGCTGCAGGACCGGGAGAAAGATATGATTGTTATTTCTTTTGGAGATCAAAGTGATAGGTGTTTTTCTAAGAGTAACATGTTAAGAGAAGAGAGACTAACCCTTTTCAATATTGTACTTGAATTTGGTGTACCTAAGAAGGTAGACTAATTAAAATGTGTTTAAGTAAAACCTCTAGCAAAATTCGTGAAGATAAGCATCTGTCTGATACATTTCCTATTCAGAATGGCCTGAAACAGGGAGAAGCTCTATCTAACTAACTAACCAGATGGCTTATGGAACCTGAAGGTTCATCACTGAACTGACCAAAGTCCTCCACAGGACCCTGTCCTGGGCCAACAAAATGCAGTGTCTATCACCACTGCTTTTCAATTTTTCCTTAGAATGTGCCATCAGAAAAATCCAAGAAAATCAGGGTGCTTTGTAATTGAATGGGATACATCAGCTTTTGGTCTATGCTGATTTTATTAATCTGTTGGACAATAATATAAATACTATAAAGGCAAACACAGAAACACTCTTAAGGGATTGCAGGGATGTTGGTCTAGAAATAACTGCGAAAAAGATAAAGTATATGATCATGTCTCAAAATCAGAATTCAGGACAGAACCATAATATAAGTATAGCTAATGAATCATTCAAAAATGTGACAAAATTCAAGTACTTGGGGATGACACTAACAAGTCAGAATGACATTCATGATGAAATCAAGTAAAAATTAAAGTTTGTCCCACTATACGCCATGTAGGCGTTTGGGGTGAGTGGAGGTATAGCTCCTCTCTTTCTTGACCTCGGCACTAGATGGGGGTGAGTGGTCAGCATCACGCCCCGGCCGGCTTTACCCCCGGGAAAGGACCCCGGTACCCATTGTAGAGGAGGCTGGGTGGGCCCCAGAGCCGGTCTGGACGCAGAGGCTAGAGGAAAAATCCTCTGCCCCCGTCGGGGATCGAACCCCGGTCGTCCAGCCCGTAGCTAGTCACTATACTGACTGAGCTATCCCGGCTCATATGATGAAATCAAGAGCAAATGAAATTCAGAGAATGCTTGCTATCATTCAGTCCAAAATCTTATGTCCTCCCATCTAATATATATAAAAAAACTGAAGATTAAAATATGCAAAAGTGTAATTTTTCCAGTTGTGCTGTATGGGTGTGATACTCGGTCTCGTACTTTGAGGGGAAAACAGATTAAGCGTCTTTCAGAACAGAGTGTTGAGGAAGATATTTGGACCTAAAAGGGAGGGAGATGGATCATGGAGAAAATTGCATAATGATGAGCTTTATGCTCTGTACTCCTCATCTGATATTGTTGGGTGATTAAATCAGGGAGGATGAGAGGGGTGGGACATGCAGCATGCGTGGGGAAGGGATGGTTGTTTACAGGGTATTGGTTTGGAGGTGTGAAGGGCAGAGACTGCTGCCAAGATCTAGGCACAGGTGAGATGATAACATTAAAATGGACCTTAAAGAGTATGGAATCAATGGAGTGAACTGGGTTTAACTAGCTAAGGATAGAGTCTAGTGACAGGTTTGTGGGAACATGGTGATGGACCTTTGCATTCCATAAAGAAAGTGGGTTATTCATTGACAAGCTGAGTATACAATTGACTTTTCCAAGAATATCCTGCACCATAAAGTAAGTCAGAGACAGATGTGAAGGTAGATCTAAGTCTGATGATGGCAAAAATAGAGAACTGGCTCAAATGCTGCCAATTGTGCCACCTGGCATCAGTTTTTCCATGTCAAACTGTTTATTTTTTTACACAAGTAGCTTCACTGTCATCAAACAAAGATGTCCACAGGGTTCAGGTCTCACAATCTTGCAGGTCATGATGCAGAACCATGACATTCAATCCATGTGCCAGGAAAATGTGTTTGAATGCTGTATGGTCCATACTCAAAATGGGTAGATGACCCACTGTGCCAAAACCACATTTCATGGTGAGCAGCCAGTGCCACATTGTCAGGTAGTACTGGTACAACTTCTCTCAGAAACACGCACTGCATGGAGGCATTAAGATTGTGGGGAAGTAGATATTGTTAATAATACTGGCACATACATAATGCCCAGAAAATTTGGTAGCTCCTCTCCTGTGTTACATGGGCACTGTCCTGTACCCACCAGTGGCTGTTGTGACTGTTAGAAACACTTTCATATGTGAATGCTGCTTTGTCCATCCAAAAAATCAGGATCACATTTTGTTCCCATACAAGCCTTTAACAGTATTGGTGAGGAGGAAACTGTCATGTGGCATGAGGCCTTAGAGCTGTATGTAATGCTATGACTACAAGTTATGGTCCTGGAGAGTTAAGTGGACAGTAAAATGGTCCAAACACAACTGTCAGGAAGTTCAACATGTACTATTGTATGCAACCTGTGCTCTTTTATTCAGAACAATCTCTTCTAGTGCTGGTGTCCAGAGAGTGAGTCACCGACCTCTAGCCATCAGTGGCACTGGTAGTATATTACCCCTCATCCTCATTCTCTGGTCCAGCTGATGAAACAAGGAAGGCAGCATGCCATGCAGTTCTCTGCATTTAGTCCCCAGCTGCAATGTTAACCCTGTTACAACTCACACCAAGCATTAGGTATATTTTGTAATATTTATTCAGGGTGTAGTCTGTTTGATTTCTCCTTTGTTGTTGGTGGAATACTGTCACGTACAATCGTACAGCTAACACTGCACATTGCTATGGTTAGTGTGTGACATTCACCTTTAATGTTGGAATCTTGGTTCTGACACAGCATGACTACATGCTTATCCATTTTATAGTATTTTATGGCTCAGTATCTCAGTGACAACTTACAGGGGACTTTTTCCGCAGCTTTTTCTTTTGTATCTTGGTACTCTACACATCCCTGTTTTTCGTATTCACCATTTTTCCCAAATTCTGTATATTATATCAATTTCGGATCTTTCATTATGAGTTACGTTTCTATTTGGTAACACCTGATATAAGCTAAAGGAAAATAGTATGTCAACTCTGCAAACACAGCAAATACAGTAGAGAGCAACAGCAAAAGTAACATATAGCCACAATAACAGATATAACAAGTAACGGTTATAACAATCACTTTTCCTCAGTCCCTTGGATCTCGTTATAACTGAGTTTGACTGTACTTTCTATCTGTATATTATACAAATTTCTTTATATTTTTTGAAGGTGTTCCAACACAACCTACCCTACAATTTCCGCATTCTTTGAGCAGTTTTAGACCTAGGACATGATTAGTAACTGTGGCCATTCCTTTCTTGATCTTTTCTGTATATTTTCCCTTATTTGATCCCTTTTCCTATTACTTTATCTCCTTAATGTAAGATTATTTGATATCTTCTTTTTTGATGCCCATATTAAGGCAGCAAGCACCTCTGGAAAGCCATGAAACATTAGTAAACTTCTACTATACTGAACAATGCAACACCCCAGAAGAGAGTCATCTTCTTATCATCCTTGTATAATACATGTCAGTACCACTGTATCCTTAATTTCTACTCTCAGATTTAGCCTGGTTTTCTGATACTGAATTTTATCCATGCTTGTTCATTCTTAATAAAAGCAGTGAAGCTATCCCGCTATGTGCCATGTAGGTACTCTGGGGTACAGGAGGTATAACTCCTTCTCATTCTCAACCTCAGCACTATATGGTGTGAAAGGGCAGCATCACACCCTGACCATGCTTTACTCTGAGGAAAGATCCCATGGTACCCATTGGATATGAGGTTGGGTGGGCCCTGGAACTGGTCAGGACACAGAGGGATCAAACTTCAATTGTCCAGCCCATAGTGAGTCATTATGTTAACTGAGTTACCCAGCTCTTTATTCATTCTTAATAATCAATAAAACCTTCATCCCTACAGTTTTAAGCTGTTATTATGCCTTTCTAGTCCATCTTGTTGTACCACATGTCAAGATAAGCAAAGTTAGTTGTGTAATGTAAAATAATGTTAACCTTTCATGGAACATTTTCAATTCCAAATTATATACCTCTACAGTCTGGTTAACTTCAGCTGCACAATATGCAGCCAAGTAGCTGTGCCTATATAAATGATTCAATTCTTATGTGTGAAGATTACAATAAATTTATTTTTACCTGTTGGTTGTGTAATGGCGTTCAAAATTCTTTATGAGCACCTTATATACTCCATCAGCTGTAGGTGGATTGCTACATGCATCACCCATGGAGCATCGCCCACCATTCAGGTCCTGCCACATCACCATAGGAACCTCCCATACACCTGTTCAGGTAGGAATAAAGTTCAGTGAAAAGCAATATAAAAATAAATAATCAGCTCTCATGCTTTATTTAAGCCTTTAAACTCTTTAAATGACAGAAAGTCATGAAATAAATTAAAGCCCATTCACAGATTTTTAATGAAATGTAGGCCATGAGGGATGAATCAATTTTACCCACATCAGAAATTTAAAATAATCAGTCAGGGATCAAACTCTGATTGCCCAGCCTGTAGCCAGTCATTATACTGACTGATCTACCTAGCTCACACAAACAGCCCTCTAAATAGTATGAAAGTTCTGTGATAAGACAGACTTTTCTATCAACCCAAACATAATGGTGGTGATATCCTTTACAAAAAGAGAAATATTATAGGACTCAAGGAACCAACTCCTTCCAGTAAAACAGTGCAGCTATCCACAGCAGTAAAACACCATGGATTAACACTGAATAAGAGATTTACATGGAAGGCACAGGTGGACAAATTTATGATTAGAACCTACAGGGCATTCTGGACCTGCAGAGGCACTTTGAAAAAAAAACATGGGTACTGCAACTGAAGGTGCTATATTGGATATATACTGTAGTAATAAGACCCATAATCACCTATGCCGCCATAGTACGTTGTCTTAGAATTAAACATAAAACCAGTATGGTGAAACTTGACAAACTACAAATGCTGGCCTGTCTGAGGATAAATAGAGCTGTGAGGACAGCTCATGCAGACAGGACCATATACTCACTCAATGAACACCAAGAATACTAGCAGTTCACACCTTAACATAAACATGCAAAGCATTTCCTTCAAGAATCATCTGTGAAATGAACTAGGGAACTGTTAAAATTAAATAGGAACCAGTTGAAACAAGTGACAAGATTATTAACAGGACTCTGTCACTGAACAGGATATTTGTTCAAATTGGGACTGGTAAATAGTCCAGTATGTATAAGATATAATAAAGAAGAAACAGCCTCACATATTCTATGAGACTGTGAGGTCTTGAATGAATTAAGATTTTGTCACCTACAATTACACTTTATGAAACCAAGTAACTACTACAATGCCCTGCTGTGCAAAGTTTTGCACTTTATATACGCTACAAGATTTCTAGAGAGCCAGAAACAGAGGGGAATGCACAATAGACTGCAGACAGTTGCAGTGAAAGTGCAGTTAACTGCCCATTCCCATTTATTCATTCAACATGGAGGGACAATCACAGGACCTTTGACAACACCTCTGATGATCACTGAATAAGTTACAGATTATCTTGAAATCAGTGAGAACTGGATAAACATTTTATAAGATATAACACATATTTAAAGAGACCAAAAACTCTGACTCATTACATTTTTTCTAAGATGAAAGTTCAGCAAGTATGGGTGAACATATGCAGAGGTCCATTAGAAAACTTGGCCTGAAAATGAATTAAAGTAAATGAACTCATACATGATAATATTCAATAATAAAAGTGCTGCATTTCCAATTCCATCAAAAGCTGTGAAGTGTCTCAAAAGACATTCGCAAAAATTAATTTAGGTCATTAAGTAAGGTAATTCTTCCACTGAACCAAAATCAAGAGACATCACAAAATTTAGGTAAACTGACCATACTACATTTAAGAAAATTGGTCCAGTAGTTTTGGTACTTTTACACACAGACAGGCACAACAAACCAATAGCTGCTCTATGAAGTGTTTATAAAATGACTATGCTCTTCTTTCTTCACCAATGCTATGCTGCTGCTCTAAGAATTGTTTTTCATTGTAGCTGAAGAATGCTTTTGTAAAAATATATTTATGTTTATGTAATGTAGATCTCACCTGGATAGGAACGTGTAGGACAAGGTGGAATCATGCAGTCATGGAAGATTTTGTAGTCCAATGTGTAAGGCCAACTTGGAGGTCGGTTCTCATAAACAGGCATTGATGAGTCATAGGTGAAGTTTGAATCATACAGCATCTTGAACATTTTGTTGCCTCCGATCTATGATGAAACAGCATTGCATAAATGTTTCAACTTCATATATCTTAACAGTTTATCCATGGTTGTATAGTTGGTGTTACCTTTACTAACTTTTTAGAGGAAACCATCACCTCCATTTTCTACCTAAAAAGTGTTTATGTCCTCCAAAACATTGGTAATCACCTTCAAGGCATTATAATCCAGATCACAATCCATATTTTATACATCATGGAAGCCTCACTTTCATACAAATGTGGTTTTGGTATCATTCCAACATGATAAATACTTTATAAGAGACTGATATTGACTTAATTAATCTTCCAAAGAAAAAATTGTCACATAAAGAATAGAAATTTCTAAAATCTGCAGTTTTTACTTCAATCATTTATAGCCTACTTTCCTTTCTTAAGGAATGATGTATACTTTTAAGACCAGCAAGCTGTCTGTGTGTCTGCCTCCTTTTAAGGTTTGTGCCAATCCAGATAACTGATTTTCAAAAACTTTGTCTAAACATTATGCCAATGGAGGCCATCATAATTTCTGATTTATTCAGTGACAACAACACCTCTGAAACGTTGGTTAACATCGACCAGACTACACAGCGCAATAACCCAGAAGACAGAAATCTTCATATTCACCGCTGTGAGAACCTCAAGTCTTACAATCAGAATACATGTTTGTGGCATCAGTGTATATTGAAATGAATATTCATCGCCCTGATGACGGAGGCAGTATGACCTCTGAAACGTTGGTTAACATCGACCAGACTACACAGCGCAATAACCCAGAAGACAGAAATCTTCATATTCACCGCTGTGAGAACCTCAAGTCTTACAACAACATGGTTGATTCACAAACATGTATGATGGGAGCAGCACTAGCACCACTTAGTATGAGGCTGATAAATGATATATAATATATCTCTGAGAAGATCATTTGTATGTAGAATGTAAAATGGCATCAAATGTCCTTATGTAGTAATTAAAAATGTTTTGACATACAACAGGCTAAATCTATATAATAATGCATTCAATATAAATAACTTGCTAAACCTTACCCATGAAATTGAAAACTTAAATATACAATATTTCATATATATTGTTAATTTTATATTATGTATATGTATACAAATATCCCAAAGCAAGATACTATATATAATGAAAGATATCTTACAAAACAAATATCATCTCCCTAATCTATATATGCAAGAAATAATAGGAATATTAACCATAATACTAGATCAAGATTTCTTTCAGTTTAATAAGACAGATCAATAAAAAGATGGACTAACCATTGGAACCCTCTTTTCACCATTACTTACTGGAACATATATACAAAACATAAAAAATGGTATTATTGCTAATATATTACAAAATCATAAAGTTCTTGGGTGCTACAGATATGTGGACAATTTACTATTAGTTTATAATAAGAAAATTACTGAAATTAACAATACCCTCAAATAATTCAATGAAAGAAATCTGAAATTACAGTTCACAATTGAAAAATAAATATAAGACTTGAAGCTTTTGCGACAACTAAATGCACTAAAATCTTCTGGGGCACTTGGCCATGTCATAATTAGTTAAAGAAAATGTTGGTTGCTTCGTGGAACTAATTGCAGTGACTGACTGCATGAGAACATTTTTTTTTTAAAAAAATAAGTAGGCTGTGTTTTAGACTTCACAATCATTAGGAAATCCAACAACATACAACATACCTACAACTACAGACAACATTATTCACATCACTTCATGTCATCAATAGAATGAATACATATCCCATACAGAAAAAAACTGGCAAAGAAAATATAGTAAATCACACCATGACCAAAAATCAATACTCTGAACAAACTCTTAATAACATGAATAACAAAAACCATAAGATAAGGAACTATAACGTGCAAAATAATGGCAAAATCACCACAGAAAATGGGTCACCTTTACTTTTATATATGAAAAGAGACTAGCAGTATAACCAAAGTATTTAAAACTGCTAATCTAAAAACAGCCATTTAAACCACCAATACCCCACAAAATCACTTCACATTTAAAGTTGCATTCAATAAAAATATAAACATTATAAAACCTAATAAATTAATTTCCACATGCATCCAACACACTTTAGATAATAAATATTCTTATGGGACTATACACAATACCATGGATATTATGCACAACTAAGAATGGGCAATACAAGATTATGATAGAAAGATATAGAAAAACCTACGGTAACATGCTAAATGATAAATATACTGAAACCAAAAACACTTGCAAAATGATTCACAACTATACAAAGTAAAAGATGGCAGCACTTACACACATATACACCCACTCTTCCTGCACACTTTCCATAAACAGTTTACCTCAAGATTTCCACACATAAACACCATACTTAAGTAAGTAATTTCCATTCCAACCTACTTAAGTACAAGCATACAAAAAACACACACTTATTTAAATTATAATTCCACATTCCCCATTCTGGCTCACCTTAATTTCATCTCTGAGATTCAATCATCAAACATTCCACAGGAAGCATAACATAAAATAACATAACAAACCTACATTGCCTATGCAACCTACAGCATATTCCAGATAATTTTCCTTATGTAAGAGATTGGCCTATTTCACAATTTTATTTTATTTTAATTCTTGTTACTTTTAACTTTATTACAAATTTGTGTTAATTTTTAACTATAATTTTAAGCACTTTTTAGCATCCATTACAATTCTAACCTTGGTTCAATTTTAATTCTGTTTTGACCTGTATTTGGTATAACATACAAAGATTGGACTGACGATGATATAATTGTACCAAAACATGTTACAATAATAAAAGAACATAAACTTTAGAATATCAAACATGTTAAAGGTTTTCAATTACTACATAACATCCAGTATCACACTGAAATGCTTACATATAAGACCAAATGTGATTAGCTTTCCTGCTTCTTATTCTGTCCCAGTTTTAAGTTCTGGACCAAAGACCAGGTATTATAACCGAAGTTCTTTTTATGGATTTCCTTAGTCCCTTCAGGCAAAATTACATAATTTAACAATGTTTTGGCTATGCAGATATTTTCTTCATCCTTCAGTTTGACACTGATAACTTAATGAATTATCAGAGTTAGACATATTGACATACCTAAAATTATGTATGAAATATTGTTTATAAATCAATATGACAAATGGTGTGAATCTTTGAGATTATATCCAATGAATTTAATGCAGATAAAATTTGTATTTGTGTAATAAATTCTTCCCAAAAGCAGAATAAAATAGTATTAATATGCATTACTTAAATATAACATTAACAACACATCATTTTCAGGACTATTTATTTGGCCAATATGAAAGCAGGCTTCTGAGTTTTACCTAGAAATCCTAGTTTTTGTAGTGAATATTTAACAGTATATAAGGAAATTTAATTTTGGACTCTCTGCAGAATATGTCAAGAACACGTGAGTAACATGTTTTACTTCTTACTCATTTCATTTTACCCTAAAAACTGAAGGGTCTCTCCACTTTACACATTATTTTCTCATCCCTAGAATTTTGTGGTCATACAATCATTTAAATACAATATTTAGAATTCCATATTTGTAAAACTTAAATCTATAATCAAACTTCAAGTTTGTAGTAATGTGGTTCAGTGAGTTCACTTTGTAGGACTGCACTAGATTTTTTTTTGGTTATCAATCCTAGGATTGGTTTGCAACCCCATTTCGGGGTTGTTTCTTGTGAAAGTACCACGGTGGTTTCGCCTTGCCTTCCGTGGCCAGTCTTTATCCATCAGACTGGAAGAGAAAGGACGCAGACAAACATCTATGCCTTGAGTGGGACTCGAACCTATGGTTCCAGCGGCCAGGCGCACAAGGTCCATGCCTCAGACTGCATGGCAACTGTGGCCGGCTGCACTAGATTATGACAAAAGTAATTCAAAGTGCCAGTATTTATCCATGATATTCCAAGTTCTGCAGTATAGGAGCCCCAGTATACTTACTTAGAGATTATAAATTAATCTAAACAGCTACTTACAGCCAAGAATGGAGCTCTCATGCCCCTGATGTCTTCTAAATGCACACCACCATAAGCAGCAAGGATTTCTCGTTGACCAGCTATCTCTTTAGTCCATTTCTTCTGAGAAAACTGTTCCCCAAAACTGTGCCTATCAAAAGAATCAGAACATGACAGATCTTAATAAAGTAATCAGTTCAGTCATATCTGGTGGTTCAAATATATTAATATGGCCAAAAATACTTGCAAGTTTTTCAAATTATGATTTGAATGTCTATGCTGAAATATGTTGTATGTCCAAATTATTCTACCTTAACTTCTATGTATCATAAAATCTAAGTAAATGGTTATAATACATTAACACATTTAATGCCAGCCCAAGAAATGTTTAGTCTAGATTAACAATATGCATGAGTAAGTACTTGATTACATAAGATTTATTGTGTCTGGGACAAAATGCAGAGAAGAATTTGTGTAGTAAAAGTTGAAAATGGCTTGTACTATCGAACTGAATATGTACCACATGTCAATGCATAATTTATATACATGTTTTCCAAACTTTTCTGGTAGAAAACATGGGTTCATAATTTAAATGTGGATTTATGAAAGTTATTCATCCAGTCCATAAAAGTAAAACATTTTCTCTTGCTGCTCAGTTTCCTGGTATCATCTTAATCAAAGTATATTTAATTGCAATCGGATGTAAGAAATAAAACGTTAATATGCATAAGATAATAATTTGATAATAATATGAAAATGACTGCAGGAAGCAATATGGTATCCACAGAAACACTAGCAGAATGCACAGACCATATTTAAATTTCTCTCTATTTTCTAAACTAAGATAATGATAGTAATTATAACACACAGAAAGCAATCATGTAATAATAACAACAATTAAAAGTTATATTTCAAGAAACTGACAATACCAAAGAAAGGTGGTGTTTTAGAATAATTTTACCTTTAATGGCCGAAAAGAATATACAATAACTAGCCACAAAAGCAGAGCCCTTGATAAGAAGGCAAATCTCTAAGCTAGACAAGAAATTCTTGACAACTTATGGAACCTCAAGAATCCTTTGCGTTCATAAAAGCTAACCCGTAGTCCCTATTCTGAGCAAATTGATTACATTCCACATCCTCATATCTTAATCCCAATAAATCCACTTTAGTGTTATCCTCTTATCTACATCTAGGTCTTCTGAATGGTATCTTCCTTCAAGCTTTCCAATAGAATTTTGCACACATTTTTCATCTCCCTATGCATTCTACATGCACTGCCCATTTCACCCTCCATAATTTGATCATCCTGATACATGGTGAAGAGTGTAAAGCATAAAGTGTCAAATCATGTAATTTTCTCCAGTATGTTGTTACTTCCTTCCACTTAGGCCCAAGTATTATCCTCAGCACTTTGTTTTCAATTGCCCTTTACATGTTTTCTTTGCATATGGCTAAAAACAAAGATCCACACTCATATAAAGCCAACATGTAAAATGATGGTTTTGCACACTTTAACCTCTATGCTTAGCAGAAATGCAGACAAAAGATTCTGAACCAGATAGTAGCAAACATTACCCATATCTTATCTCTTAATTTATTTATAAATACAAATTTATTTGTTACTGTTGTCTCCAAATATTTTAACTTTGCCACTCCTGTTAAATAGGAATTATCCTAAGTTATTACATGTTATTTAGTACATTATGATTTTATCCTGTATTTTGGTAAGTAGACATGAACATACACCTAATTTCATCTGCATTTACTTCTGTTTTTAATGTATGGTAATTATGTTTTCACCCAATAAACAAATATAATCAGTATAAAGTGAAGCTTTCATGGCAACTGAAGTTGATGAAAGACTCTCCGCCAACAAGCCGCATCAGGTGGCTTAATGGTGAATGAAACATTTCTTCTGCGAACAACTTCAATAGGGATGATGGTTTAGTCCTGAGCCGGGCCTGGTATCCTGTGACAAAACTGTTGTTTGCCTGGAAGGCCGATCCAGCAAGAGTGAGCACTTGACCTCATCTGCCAGTTCCTATTGGTCAGTGTGAAACAAAGCAACAGACGGGCCACCGGCAACACAATGATACTACCTGCTGATCACCGCCAGTTCCCATCGGCGAGCATGCTACATAGGACCAGCTTCGTTTCACAGTTGCCCTGAGGATGAGAGCAGAGATGGCTCTTGAAATGTTGGCGAAAGAAATGGTTCATTCACCATTCTTCCACCTGACGTGGCTTGTTGCCTGAGAGTCTTTCATCAAACGTAATCAGTATAGACTCAAAGCTGATGCAAGCAGTTCCAGTTCCATTCCAACCCCCCTCCCCCCCTGGTTTCCTTAGACCTTTGTAATGGTGTACTCTAAAGCAAAGTTGAAAAGCAACAGTAATAAAGCATCTCCTTGTTTCAGGCCATTTTATTCAAGAAATGCATCACACAAATATTTACTGATACAGATGTTACTATACACTATACTGTACCATGTAGGTTTAATTTAAATACTGTATACTTCATTTAAATACTATAGGCCCATACTCGAATAAATAGGTAAAGATATGTCAGTGTAAAGCCATCAGAACTTTGAGGAATAAGATGAGGGAGTATCTCAAATATCAGATAGGGGAGCTGGAAACTAACAGCAAAAATAAAAATTTCAGAGAGTTGTATAGAAGCATAAGTGAATTCAAGAAGGGGAACAAATCTAGAACAAATTTGATCAAGGACGAGAACAGGGATATGCTCACAGACTCACATGGCATTGTAGACAGATCAAAAGATTACTTTAGTAAGTTACTAAACGTTTCCGTAGCTGATCAATTGAGCCTGAAGTACATACAGCAGAGCCCTCATCCTGATACTGAGCCTTAATGAAGTTGGAATTGCTCTTGGGAAATTAAAATGTTATAAATCTCCAGGCATCGACTCAATTCTAGCGGAACTAATCCATGCAGGTGGTAGGACACTGCACTCATAGATACATGAGCTTATAGTCCCGTTTTGGAACCAAAAGGTACTACCACAACAGTTGAAAGAATAAATTGTTGTTCTTATCCATAAAACAGGAACAAAACTGAGTGCAGTAACTTCCAAGGTATGTCTCTATTGTCAACGTCATACAAAATTTTATTGAATATTCTTCTGGCATGGTCAACGCCATTTATGAATGAAACTATTGCGGATGATAAATGTGGATTCTGCCATAATAGGTCAACTATTGATCGATATTTTGCATTTGACAAATAGTAGAGAAAAAGTGAGAGTATAATGGGTCAGTTCACAAACTATTTGTGAACTTTAGGAAGGCATGTGACAGTTAGAAGAGAGGTACTGTATGGTATTTTGATTGAGTTTGGAATACCAAAGAAACTTGAGGTTAATTAAGACGTGTATGGAAGGGGTATCCAGTAGAGTTCATATAGGTAGCCTTCTGTCGGATCCTTCTCCAGTGCACAATGGCCTCTAACAGGGGAATGCTTTGTTCCCAATGACTTTTAATTTTGCTGTAGAACATTTCATCAGGAAGGGCTCAAATTGAATTGTGTGTACCAGGTACTTGCCTGAATGTATGGGTCACTTAGCATAGTGAGGATAGTGATATCTAGGAGGCTCCGATGAGCTGGACATGTAGCATGGATGAGAGAGGCAAGGGATTCACACAGAATTTTGGCAGGGAATCCTTCTGGAAAATGACCACTGGGAAGACCAAAAAGGATATGTGAGGATAACATCAAGATGGCTCTTAGGGTGGTGAGCAGTGAGTATGGCAAATGGATGTAGTTGGTTCAGGATCATGGCCGGTGGCAGGCTTTGGTGTTGTTGGTATTGCACCTGCGGGTTCTGCTACCAGTGAGTTAGTTAGGTTTAATTTAAATATCCCAACTACATTTATACAGAATTCAGTAAAAATGTGGAATACTTCTTTTGTAACTGAATCATATGTATTTCTTAAATCTACAAATAGCTGATTTATTGTCCTATTGTTCTCCATTTTCCTCCAATATCTGATGAATGTGGAATATCTTATTTCTTATTTGGAAATTTATGCTCATGATCTCTAATAATTTCATCTGTGTATGGAATTTACACTGGGTGAAGCGTGTTAATAAGATTCGGTATATAGTTGATAACAGAAATATTCTCTGAAAATCACTAGTGAGTTTGATTGTTCTGAAAATGCAGATAGTATGTTTTTTGAAATTTTATCTATGATGGATGTTCAATAAAGATTGAGAATGTTTTTCTTCCTAACATATCTCATTTATTCTGAATAATTACAAGTAAATTCCTTTTCAAAATAGGCTCCCCTGAACTCAATAAACGTATCCAACCATTTTTTCCATTCATTAAAGATATATTTGAAGCTATTTTTGGACATTTTCGTTAAAACTGCATCTGCAGTGTTGACTGCAGAATCTGTGGTCTGGAAGTGCTGTACCCAAAGCTGCCTTTTTAGTGTAGGAAACAAAAAGAAAGTCAAACAGCACTAGATCTCTGCTGCAGGAATGGTGGGGGATATACTGAACAAATTTATTTGTCACAATTTCAAGGAAATGTTTGCAACATGATGCCATGATGAAACATCCAGTGCCCAGAAAGGTCCTGTCATATTTTTCTGGTGTGGTCCATGATAGTTTTTGGAACTGAACAGTAGGATTTGAGGTTTTCATGGCAGTAAGTATGAAGATGGCTGTCTTCTGGGTTGTTGCGCCATGTATTCTGGTCAAAGTTTACCAACGTTTCAGAGGTCTTTTCTGCCTCCATCATCACTCTGGTGATGGAGACAGCAAGGACCTCTGAAACATTGGTAAAATTCGAGCTGAATACATGGTACAACAACCCAGAAGACAGCCATCTTCAACTGAACTGTAGTAAGCAACAATGACAGTTGTTTAGGTGGTACTATATGCATGCAAATCCTTCCAGAACAATCAAATCACACTGTTGCCATAACTTTAACTCCTGATTAAGAGATTTTTTGGTCTTAGTGAGCTTGAAGAGACCCACTGGGTGCTTCGGTGCTTACTCTCTGGACTATATAGCCTACTCCATATTTTATCAGCTGTTACAAGTCAGCTTTTATAATCATTCATATCCCTGTTCTGCAACGTGGTGAACTGTTCTGCTTTGACATCCATTATGATGGCTGCGTGACTTTGAAAATAAGATAGGCATAGTTTGTAATCAAGGACACAGTACAAGCACAACTACAAACACAACAACCTATAACTGCAGATGCTGACTCACACCTGTCAGTACTACTGACAACTATAAACACAGGTTCCTTCAAGACTTCCAAACATTTTGCAAAAAATCGTTCTCAATGTTTATTGAACAGCCCTTATTCCTATGAGTTTAGATGATGTCACAAACCCAGAATAACATCATCATCTTTACCATGGTAAGAACCTGAAATCTCATATATGTACTTCTACTACTATAGCAGTTCATACTTAATACAAATAGAATTAATAAGTTTGGATCTCATAATGCAATCATTTACTGCCTATTTCAATCAGTTATGCCAGAATTTGATCTAAACTTGGTAATTCATACCATTTAAACTTTTCAGTAGAAATCTTGGCATTAAGAGGACTATGCTAAGCTGTATGTATTTCAGTCTAACATCATTAACCACATGTACACCCAGTAGCTGATAGCTTTTCAGCCCTTCAAAATATTATAGGAATTTGGTAGTAAGCACCATTCTCATTTTTTATCAAGCTACCAGTATTTCAAGGCAGATTGTTAAATCCATTCAGTGATATTTAACCTGCTTCCTTTGATCTAATAATTTTTAACATTCTTTGACATATTATTGTTTATGCTGATTTAACTCATAATAATGTAAACTCTGGATGAAGTTTTGATAGCATACTCTGTGGGAGGTGTGTTTTGTTCCCCAGTTTTTATGGAGAGTGAGAAATAAAAGATAAATGGTGGAAGCCATATAAAGGAGTTCTATGAAAAAGATTCTACATCTGAAAGCTGAT